TCTACTTACTTTTTTTAATTTCACAACTCATGGCAAAGACTTTCAACTTTCTTGTTGACTTCTTCCATAGAACATAAGAATAGCACCTCTAGGATTAATGTTAGTAATACATAAAATTTCTACTCTAAGAATATTAACAAACTTATGAAGATTTGTAATAGTTGTAAATTTATTCTTACTTCTGTTAAGAATAGTATCTACAATATTTCCTTCCATTTCTATAATATAGGACTTTAATAAATCTACAAATCAAATTAAAAGAGAATAACGTGCAACTTCTAATATCAAATGATTTTTTTAAAAAAAAACAAATAGTCTATTTTTTTAAGAAAAGAATTAATATTAGAAAATAATATAAAAAATATATTAATTTAAAGGTAGATAGTCTGCAACCTTTAAAGCATACCAAAAGAAATAGAATAATCTATTCACTTTTAAAACTAAATAAGAACAATAAATTAGCACTCTTATCAAAATATCAAGGATATAAATTACAAAAAATCAAAAGGTCAATACACTCTTATGTCACTAAAACAAAAATAGATAAGCACTCAAATATGATATAATATTCAATTTGAATGGCTATTGCCAAAGACATGAAAACTAAAGACTCTTGAAATAAGATTAATGACTAAAGAGTCATTGATAAGTATGAAGAAAGCTTTACTCTTGCCTCCATATATACTATCTAACTAGGAACTATGTAGTGACATTCTATAGGACCTCTACATGTATCCAACCTATAAGATATATATATCTAACTTATAAGACACATGTAGGAAATTTCCTACATGTATGTCATATGACCAATTTGTACTATAAGTTGCCAATATGTAGAATATATGGCCAACTTAATGGCCAAGTTTTCAACCTATTAATTGACTACAAATACTTATAAAGTCAAATCCAAGTCTATGAAGTTTTTAAAAAACTTCTCTATAAGATATTATCAAATCTACTTTCATTAACCTTCTTTCTAATACTTCTTATCTAGGTAATTTATGTATATCCATGTCACATACTTATACACTTTGATCAACATGAATATATTGAATTTTGTAACAAAATATTTATTATTAATTTAATTTTGTGATGGTATCATTTTATAATTTTATTTTGACACATTTAGAGATACTTTGTTTCTTATGTTAAGAATAATAGTACACAAAATAATGTGCTATCATTATCTTATACTTAATTTCCTTGGCAAATAATGGAGTCCTTAATTATTTTACATATATTTTTTATACTAAAGATGAAGGTCAAATATGGGATAGAATATGACCACACAGTGTAAATTTATTATAACATCTAATTACATTATTTTTCCTATTACCAGGAATATTAGTTGCTATTCATGTTCTATTTTACTTACAAAAGAATTTGGTAGTAAACTTTGATTGTTTTTTAATTCTCTATTCAATTTTTTTTCTACATCTTTTTCATATTTAATTAAGCTTATTAAAATCATCCTTTTGACTTGAATATGATTACAACATTGTTTGAAGTGTAGGAATTTTGATAACATAGCAAGCATAGAAATTTTTAATATCTCAAGTTTAAAGTTAAACATATAGTGTAGTTGATAATAATATAATAATAAGTTATTTTATAAGTAATATAGTTGCTAATATTGAATAATTTTTCAATAAAAATATTTAAGAATTTTTTTTAGCTATAAAAAAAATAATGATAAAAATATAAAATGAATTATATTTACACAAAAATTATTTTTAATATTCTATATTTTCAATAAAAAAGTAAAATTTTCAATTTTATTATCCAAATTAGAACCAAATAAAATAAAAAGATTAATTTTTTTTAAATTAAATTAAATTTTACATTCTTATTATTTAAATTTTGCAATGCATAAAGTTACTGTTAGGAATAAAGTATAATGTATATACATAAATCAAGACTAAATAATATATATTAATGTTACATCAATATTTATACAAAAGAGTTGAATATTGATATGAAAAAGTTATTTATATATATATATATATATATTTATTTAAAAATAATGTTTGATTTTAATTTATTGAATATGCTAATATCATCTAAATTTGATAACACCAAAATATTTTTCTATAAAATATCTTATCACAAACTTAACTTTAGCAATCGTGATGATTAAAATAACAATTTTGGCACACCATTAGACATCAATATTACAAGTGAAGTGAGTCATAATATTGTATAGCATGATCAATTATGTCATTTCAATTTTTTGAAAATTTAAAAAGAAAAGTGAATAAATTGCATACAATCATAATTGAAACAATGTGTATTGATATTAGTTCTTCAAAAGTCTCAATTGTCTTGATAATAATTTAAAATTTTTTATTTATTTATTTATTTATTACATTTAAATGAATCCATAAGCACATGATTATTTCATTAATGTTTTATAATATATGCATATATATATATATATATATATATTAATACTTAATTTTCTATTTTTAGAGTAAAATCGCACAAAAATATCCATTCTTCATTTTTTGTGTTGTTTACATAAAAGATTGAGAACTCAAAGAATTGGAAAAAATAAAGAACCGTGAAAAAGAATCGATTAACATATTTTTTACTGTTTTTATTTTTTATTTTTTTTATAATTTTTTTTAATATGATTTGAGCGGGATAATACAAGGAATGTTATTAACTATTTATTCTCATAAATACGTTCAATCCGCCACCCCAAATAGAGAATTGTCGTGAGGCACGCGTCCGGACAGGTGCCCAAGAGTTCATTCATCCTTACAAATGAATGATCATACATCAGCCATATGTACATCCATCCTAAAGTTCATCAAACTACCTTTATTCATCCACATGGATGCTCTTCTTCGTCTTCGTCTTCTGCTTCGTCGTCTTCGGTCTCTGGACGTCGTGTGCGTTGTTGTTGAGCTCACCAAAACTCCACGCAAAGCTTCCTCGCGTTGAAGCTCCCCACGTCGGAAGCCTGCTCCATTCTGGCAATGGCTAACAACATGAAGCCCCAGTTAAACCCAACACTGATTTTTGGGGTGAACCGTCGCAGTTCCCATTCACGGCGCTCTCAATCATATCCACATCCCTCTGATGTCTCCCACAGGTTCAGTGAGGATGATGCCTGGATCACCCCATGTGGAAGTACGCTAACTTCCCTAGGTTATACTCATAGAATGAGTGGAAACATTCCCCCATACTAACTGCGCTTAACATCTTGTCTTTTCTACAACAGTTAGGAATCTATGGGGTGGTGCATTGCGTTGTTGTTAGAGGACTGAGAATTATGGTAGCTGCCTGGAGAGTAATTTGGGAGGAGGGGACGTAATAATGTCAACGAGAAGCTCATGTGTGTAGTGCAGTGGTTTCCAAGTAGGTACAGATCCTCAGGACTTGCTGATGTACATGAGCGGAATGACTACCGAATTATATGTCGGCAGCCGTCAACTGGATTGGTCAAGACAGGTGAAGCTGTCATCTGCCAGTTCATTTCCAGCTTCCGTCAGTGGCAAATATGTCGGTGACTTCGCTCAAGCGTTTCGAACACTCTAAAGATTGTGGGATTGATTAGAGGACAAAAATGACCGGGAGAAGGAAATTCCACGGCGGAGTACTGCGGGTGACGTTTCGCCACCATTGCAGGGATGATCGGTACGTTTTGGTGCGAGGGCCCGCTCTCACATGATCGGTTGACCTACTGCCGGGAAGAGGGCTTTACCTGCAGAGCAAATAAGAAGCTGAAATTGAAGGAGTATTCCGGGAGTTTCTTTCGGTAATTCTCAGCACAAGGTGGAAGAGACATCATGTATCATGCGACGATGAGCCGATCAAATCGGAACACTCCCCATTCCACAGATCAATCCAAAGTCAATTGTGATTGACGGATTTTTCTCTAGAGAAACATGGATCCTTACAAAATTTCAAGAGTTGAGAACCGTCGGACCGGCGCTGGCACAGGCTCTGACATCAATTCTGCTACTTGCTTTTCATTCCTGGGAATCAACTCATCACGAAAAGTTTCTGCGCCTGTTATTGTGGCCAAGCTGACAGCACGAGCAACGTGTTGATGTAAAAGCTTGCACTGCGCGATATTTGATGATTCTGAAATCCAGTCGTTTCAACCCTGACGAGCATGATCTCGATGTGGTGAAAAAACAAAACAAATAACAAAAACAAAAAAACTTTTAATAGCCAAAACGGAACTCCAGAACTCGCTTTCTAAAAGCGGAAGTTCATTTAAAACAGTAATGATGTCTGTGAGAGGGTTTTGATACTGTACTCGGATTTTAATTACTCTGACACCACTAATCCGCTATGTAAATTTTGCAAGTCTACCTTTTCTACTTTGTCCCACTCTCATAGTCAAAAAAGAATGGTCAAATTTCAATGATGACTAGTTTCTGGGTATTTGATGCGCTTCCTGGAGAGGAGATTAGGTAATTTTGGAGAATGTTAGAAAGAGGTGTTGAGAAACGTCAAACTAAAAATTCTTGCTTCGCTAAGTTAGAATTTGATTTTAAGATCGAATAAAAGAATGTCTTCGAATTATCCCATGTCGACGAAATGATACCAGCATACATTTTTCACTAGTTGCCTTGTCAGTCAGCTAGTCTGAACCTGGCAAATTTTCAGTAGTCTTCATATCATCTTGAAGGCAAAAGGCCAGCAGGTCTTGCAATTTGCGTAGATTGCCAAGCCGCTATAATGGCGAGGATTAGTGTCAGGTGGCTTGCCTGCTTGGAGAGCGTTTTTTCGTTGTATTCGTCAAAGATTACAAGGGGCCGTTCTGGCCAGCTCATGAAGAATCGAGTCATCAACGTGGTAGACTAGCAAATGAATCTCTACACTCGAAGTAATCCATCACATTTTCATACCAAGTTTTAACCCAAACCTCCTCTGAAGAAGAAACAGAAAAAATCTTAGAACATTCAGTCCATTCACAAGGCCTTCGGAATTATACACAACAATGGTCTGCATGTATTCAGGAATACCAACTCATAGATTTTGAGTACCAAAACACCGTCTGAGTTTGACTGAAATTGGGATGTACAAAAATACAATGAGCCTGAGGTTTTGGATAAGTTCAAGCTCTAGAAGTGGTGGGATTTGTGGGTCTAAGCATATCCTCCGAGAGACCTTCGTCCGTTGATACAGACAATTCTCGACTAAGTGCTGCACTATGAGCAGTAAAAGATCTGTTTAAGTATTCTGGTCTTGGAACGAACGGCTGCTCTGGAGCAAATGCTGCTGCGCCACTAATCAAGGAATTGTAATCTAAGTGAAAGCCACCCTGCTGCTCTGGTGTTGAAGAAACTGAGTCGCAAGAACTGGCTCTGATTTGACAGTGCACTCACGTTCGAGAAACTTGAGCGAGGGAAATTGGTCAGCAGACCTTCTCGGTGTCTGCTCATGAGGTCGTGAGCTCCGAACTGAATGGGCTGAGACTAAATAGACGCCCAGGCGGCCTCCTGCTATAATCTAAGCAGCTCATGAGCTCGAAGCAGATTCAAGCTGGAGCGAAGAGAAGCTAGGTCTTGTGATTGTTCGTGCGGCAACAGCATAGATGATCTGAACAGAAGATCCGACAAACTAAAGGGGCTGTGACTTGAGAAAGATGGCTCCAGCGCCGGATTACTCGCCATGCTGTAGTGGTGGCTCAGGGTGGCCAAAAGCCCCGGTAATCCTCCCGGGTATCCTGGAGGGCATCTGAGGAAACTCGGAAACTGGTGGGAGTGTGTGCCTTCGTAGGCAGTGGCCACCAGTCCCGGATCCTCGATGCAGCGCTCCACGCGTTTGCGAACTGGGCAGTTCGGTGTCGCACACCTGTAATAGTTTCTGCAACATTACGGGTGGCTCGAGTCAGACAACAAGAAGTGCGAGTCTTATTTTAAATAGTGAATAATGATGTCAAAGCAGCATTTCAAGTACTCGAAAGAGTGGATTTGATTCCTTGCATGAGAAATGCACGCTTCTAAAGACTGGCTACCGACTGTATAATACATGGTTCGACATCGACGTCGAATCACACACTCGGCACGATATTCCTTAAAAACTAGAGAGCTTGGAAAGACGAAGAACTGAACGAATGGATGTAGAATATTCCCTTGCACTCTCTCTTGGCCTTAATTCTTGGGTTTCCCAGGACTGTACATCCTGTTCTACTCGATAGGGGCCCCCGTCATTAAAACCTTTGCCGAAAGGCCTTTTCAGTCAACAGCTTCAATTCTCAGGCATTTAAAGTAGTCTCTCCCTCAACCGTTAGAAGAAGCTGAAACTGCTATGAATTGCTAACTGCATATATTGACCTCAAATTTTGGCTCTCCCATCCACGAAAGAAAATAGCTCAAATATTACTATTATACTGTCAACCTATGCTTAATACTTTCATTTTCTGTCCTCTTAACATGATATGAATTATTCATATGTTCTCCGAAACAAAATGCAGGGTATTGCTCCATTAGTCGCTGGTAAAGTTCTTTTGCTAGAAATAAAAGAAAACTACATCTATCGTAAAATCCGGTTGAATAGACAAGTCTAACTTGCGATTCAAAAAAATTCACGTGCATGCGAACCAAAAATTTCTTATGAAAAGCTACTAGGAACTAATCCTCATCAGTACGATGATGCAGCCAGCCACCCTTCTAAAAGGTAACCTGTCAGCTTATCGCACCGGATCTCGCACGAGATACCTTTGTCAGTTTTACAGCACAAGGGTGGCATCTTTGAACGGAGATCGGACATTTTAATGAATCGATACTCAGACAGTCGGACCATTATTACAGTTTGCATGATGTGTGCTTCAAGAAATACTAGGAGGTCTAATTATCCAGTAAAGTCAGTCATGTAAAAATTCATGTATCAATCAACTCTCGAAAACAAAAAACAATCAGCTTGTTTTCTCAAACCAAAATAAAGTACGAGAGACTTGATGGTTCCACTGTATGCATGTGCAGTGGATCAGAGCAATAGCACTGCCAAGGTTGCGTGCACAGAAATTAGACCAGTAGTGTGAAGTACCTGGGATGAGGACTGTTTTTAACTGCCTTCTGTCCATACTTGCGCCACTTGTAACCATCATCCAATACATCGGTGTCTGCCCTGGTCTTGATCGCATAGCGGGGCTCGGGAACTCTCTTCATGCCTCCCTTCTTTCGGGGGCGATTTCAGCGGACGACACTAGCCCTGAACATCACTCGATCAGATTAATTATCCACGCCAAAATACATATTAACATGCATCTTTATTTACCTAGAGTTTACTGTCGCAGTCCTCACAGATTCTCAAAAATGATTGATGCGATTCTAGTACTTGTTTATAAATGTGTTTCTGTACTGTTCACCGTTTGGGATGTTGTTCACATGTTCGACTGGGACTGTCAATTGTGAACATATTACTTACATAGGCTCCTTTGTTTCTTGATCACCGCTTCTGGCATCCTCCTCTGCGTCTTCTTCTACGCCATCTCCATCTTCTTCATCCCCCTCATGCGATCGCACCCGTTTCTCACTTTGACCTGAGGTTTCTGCGGCATCTCTACTGCAGGCCTCAGTTTTTCGTTTCCTGGTTTTGGATTCTGTCTTACCATCGCTTACTAGAGACGATGACAACGACTCAGAAGTAATCGGTGTCCCTGAATGGGATCTGTCTGCGAGAAGCTGTGCATCTGTGCACGTGGAAGAAGACACATGCCTCTCGGCCTTCGGTGATTCTAGGTGGTCTCCGTCATGTTCGTAGGAACCCTCAAAAGCTTGCAGTTCGAGCACGGACTGTGCCCATGCAACCTGATAGGTTGGTTTGTCAAGAGGACAAGTAGATGCACAAACATCTGATAGATTGTCCTGAGAACCTCTGGTAGTCACTCCCACTTCATCAGATGTCTTGATGTTTGAAAATCTTGGGGAGGTTACTTCAGATGAATTTATACGCCGCTGCATGACTATATCTTCCGTAAACCATGAGAAGTCGGCGAGCGCCTCTCTTTGGTTCAGACTGGCGGTTTCCCAGCTGGGTTCTGATTCACTGGACACTGATGGCAGAAGACATCGCAGCTCTGGCGGTGGTGAAATGAATGACCATGGGTTCAAGCCCGGACTTATATCAGGGATCCTACCGTAGGAGTCGTAGAAACCGTGAAAACTTGAACCGTCTCCCGATACGGTCTGAGATAATTGAGACGGAACAGCATGAGAATCGGTTAGTGAGTGCATAATCCGTTGCGAGTAGTCGATTTCAACGTCCTTATTTAAGCCTACTTGTTGAACTGGATGAGTAGACCCTTCCATGATACCGAAGAGGCAATGAAGGTCGCAAGGTCTTCACGAATAGTAATGCAACCAATACGTCGCCAAGAAATGTCTCAGAAAAAAGTCCTCCCAAGACGGAGACTGTGAATCTAGTTTCTGTAGTTTCAATTTCGTTATCTACTGCGTACATTTACAACCAGAAGAAGCCGCCTTCAAGATGTGACAACTACCAGTCGGCAGATGTCTACAGTACGAAATTCAGGGTCAAGCTTAATTTCTATCAGATTGAGGGAGGCTTTGCCTATGAATATCAGCTCATAACATGCGCGTGGGAAATTAATTAATTCAACTCCAAGGACACTGCAACTTTTCAGAATCGGAACACGCCCCTTTTATGAGTCGGTGGACCCCATGTCCGCTTCGCCCCCCACGTCCGGTTCCCATCGCCGCTCATGCATTCTACCGCGCATTGCCGCACGAGGATGTGACCAGCGGCCGCGGCTGCGGCTGCGGAAGCGGTAGCACGCGGCTAGATTACGAAGGAGACGATGGGCTGGCCAAACTACATCTCAATCAAACCAACAGCCTTATTAAGTAATCAAAATTAAATAATTTAATTATAGAAGGCCAGAACTAAAAGACAATTTTAAAACGTTGGGGGGGGGGGGTGTTAATCTCATGTAGAAAAATATATATGTACATAGAATAAAAATTGATGTCAAATAATTATTTATTATGGAATTACACCATTTATAAATTGGCCAACATCGTAAAAATAGATCGTAGATCATAGATATTATTCTTCTTTGGGGTTGATAGATGATACATCATAGATATTATAGTTAATTTCAAGCAAAGTTGAGTACAAAAACAAATGTATTTTGAGGAGCCATGGACTAAATGATGATGTCTTCAATGTCAAATCTGAGAAAACAAATATTTTTAAATGGGATTTTAAAACATGAATTCTATGAATGTGTGAACTTTGTAAATTTAGGATGAAGGCCCAGAAGGAGGAGAAGAAGAAACCGTACCCGAGCCGTAAGCGGAGACAGAATACGTACAATTATCTTTCCCGGAAAATGGACAGCGGTCTCTGCAGCGCTGGACATGTCTGCTGTACGTATCCCGTAGACCAGTCATTTGCTACTCGTGTATGTACACCAAATCCAATTAATCCCCTCCCCTTGCTTATTGCTGCGCCACCTTGCCTTTGACTGAGCCCCCCCCCCCTTTGACCTCTTCGTTCCATGACGTGGTCCCTCCGAAGATCCTTCGACATTAAAATCTTGTTTTGATATGGTTAGACCTGTTAATATCTTTATAAAAAACTAGACTTGGAAAGCACATTTTGAGCTTGTACTTGGCATTTAGTATATGAATGTTTAACTATAAAATATACTTAGTATAAAGACATCAGGGTATGTTGGAAATTATTTTTTAAAATACTAATTCTTTAAGATTGCATTTTTGGATTTTTATTGAAATTTCAATTTTTTTCAATAAAATAAAATATAGAAAGAATAAGACTAGTATGATGGCTTATTATAACTATTTAATAAGAACATGCAACATCAATAAATAATATGTAGTAGGTATGCTTAAGGTAGCCAATGCATCTTGAATTGTCTTTCTTCTATAATTATCTTTATACAGTTTTTTTATTTTATTTGGACTATTTATTTTTAGTTTCATAAAGATTGATTGGAATAGATATACTATATTATCAAATTACAAATATATTTCTTTCTAATGACTATACATGTGCAATTATATTCAATTCTTCTATTGAATTAATATTTAGAAGAAATAATTTTTATTGCATAGATTTGCATTTAAAAACTTAATTTAGAAGAAGTTAGCTAATTAGGCTTTAAGTATTGTTGCATCAATTCATTGCTAGCATAGGTATATTTATGTCACTTAGTATAATGGTGTCATACTACAATTGCTTACAATACCAATTAAAATACATAATATGTTTATAAGTCCTAATAAGTATTAAAGTGGTTAGCAGATTAATTTAAAGAGAATTTATGTAAGAAACTTTATTTTGGATTTTTATTTTTTTTAATTTTTAAAGCTGATTATGGAATTTAAATTATATAGAATCTAGATATTAAATATGAAGCCTTGAGAGGAAATTTGGGGCCTACAAGTAAAAAACCAAACTACTAAGAAGTTGATTTAGAGGGATGAAAGTAAGGTCTAGAAAGATGAAGATAAAGCATGGAGATCTTTATTTCTATTAGTTGATGGTTATGTCAAATAGGCTTTCAATAGGCTATTAGCATCCATATTGGAGATTTGAGTAACTTCAAAGGAAGAATTTGATGGAAAAAATAAATAAATAATAATAAAAAAATGAATGTAAAGCTTAAGTTTTAAGTTATAATTTATGTGCAAATTTTAGAAGATTCAAGGTTGGGATAAAAGAAATGTAATTATTTGAAATTAAGATGTTGTATTATAATTCAATTATATGGTAAAAGATAAAAATATTAATTCTTTTATAAAAGAATATAATTGAAAGATATAATAGCAAAATATGGATAAAAGATAGAGATGTAGTTAAAAAATTTAGTATTAATATTATTTTTTTGTAAAAAAAAACTTCTACTTACTTTGTATTATTATTAATAAGCCAAAAAATATATATATTTTTTTTAAAAATAATATAGACATCTTTAGAAAAAAGTCAAGAATAGTTTGTAGGAAAAAATATCTTAAGAAATCAAAAATTAATATCCAAGTAAGACCAGCTGTGAACTAGGGTTGAAATCAAGCTCAAGACATAAAACCATGGATCTACATCAATTATAGGATTTTTTGCAAATCAAAGAATGAAATTTGAAAGAAAAATAAAACAAAGATTTTTAAGCATTGATTTTGAATGATTTAAGTTTTTAATAACTTTGTAAAGGCTTTGTAAAGTTAAGATTGATTTGGAGTGATTTTCGATCTTAAAGAATATTAAGAGTTTATACTTTAGAAACTTTTCTAAGATTGATAAATGATCTATAGATAAAATTTCGTAAATGTGTCATCATATTTGTATTTTATGTGTGGTATAAGTTTGAGTTCAATCAAATGATTTATATGAAGGTTATTAAAATTTTAAATTATTAAGATCTTAAAAATTGGAGTTTAGGAGACATATAAAGATTTCTAAGATTTGTAGCAATTTGCTAATTAGATTGAAATAAAATTTTGAAAACTATTGGTAGACCTAATTTCAAACAAGTGTAATTTTTTTAAGAACAATTGAAAGGTAAAATCAAGAGATTTTGGTACTTGGAGATTGGCAATATGATTGGAGAAGAAGGACAGCCATCACCTAAGCAAATTATGAGGATTATCCTCTATTTGATAAATTTAATCTTCTTCTATTATTTTTATGTATTATCAGCCAAGTAATTGAGATGTATACAAATTTTAAATCAAAATCTATAGTTAGACTATTAGTTATTAAAGTTTCAATCTATTGTTGGACTAGTTAAGGATTTATTTAAGATTTAAGATTTAATTATGATTATATTAGAATTTATTCAAGTTTTATTTAAAATTTGATTAATTTTTTTTTAAAATTTTGGAATTTGATAATGATTTGATTTAATTTTATTTAAAATTTGATTAATATTTAATTAATATTTTATTAGAGTTTATCTAAATTTTAAAATTTGATTATGATTTGATTAGATTTTATTTAGAATTTTATTAGGATTTAATTGAAATTTTATTAGGACTTTTTTAGATTTTATTATATGTCAAAGATATAAACCTTAAAGAAAGAAATCCTCAATACACTCTTATGACACTGAAAAGAATTAAAAAGTCACTCAAAGATGATATAATATTGAACTAGAATGGCTATTGCCAAAAACAAAAAGACTAGA